TTCAAATTGATCTATTATTAACACAAAATTCAGTGAACAAAGCTCCAGTCAAGTGGGCCACCACTTTTTGCCTAACTGACCCAATCAATCGCATAAAAAATCTTATGGGAAGTGTTCAAATTCGCATTTCTCAGTTACAACCGATGTCTATTGTTCCCTGCCACCTTGAAGGTTTGGTCTTTTGTTAAAGATATGTATAAAAGACAGATTACCGGTTCCTTTGTAAATTGATACCACTCCGATCGTGGATTCGTTCATTATGGATTTGTCTTTACACACTTATATTCAACGACTAGCTGTACCCGCGACTTCGTCCGTGTGGAATTTAACTTTATTATTCTAAAATAAAAGTAGCCTAAGTTACTCCTTATTACATGAGCTACCTGCCAAAAAAGTCGGGATTCATAAATCAAAATCGGTCCAGCCATTTCAGAGATTAGACAGAACAACCAGACAGCTTATCTGTTAGACAGACAAAAATTGTAAAAAATGTTATTTTCGTGTGTGTACCGTATTTATATTCATATGCATGTTGTAAAAGACGGTTATTCCAATATTACAAACAGACACTCCAATTTTATTTATAAGTACGTATGTATAGATGTTAATATGTTATGGAATGTCGAATTACCGGCGACCTTTACCCCAGTCTTTAACACAGCTGGCCATATTTATGAGACCCTCGTCCCTCTCCCTAGTGTGACTTCATACATTCAGTAATCTTATTATTTCGCAAGTATTTTTAAAGTTCGTAGTTCAAATTCCGTATTCACTAGCTACATACCCCGGCTTTGCACCGGTGTACATGTATTATACATATAAGACTTCCTCTGGAATAACTTTATCTATAGCTAAAAACTAAGGATTAAATTCCGTTGCGTAATTTAAAAGATCTAAGCGAATAGATAGCGGAAGCATCATTTTATACTATGTAAAGATTACATTACATTTTAATGTGACGTCACGATATTTAAACACTTCCACCCTTAGGGACACACACCACATTTTGCCCTCCCTCTTAATGAGTATTTTACAGTACAACATCTATGGAAGGTGACGGGACGAATGTAGTCAGTGAACAAACTTGACAGGGCAAATGCATTTCGAATTATCCATGATAGAAATGCCTGCCAGCACTGGTCCGAGTAGCAGCAACGGACCTCCTCCTCCTGTACCCTCTCTGACCATAAACTGTCTAGTGATAGGAACCCTTTTGTGATGATAAATATGTATCATAATATTTCTACAGTAATATAACAATAGAGTTGTCAAGCAAGCAAGACTAGATAGGTTAGTAAGTAAATAATAATAGCACATTTTATTAAGATTTATTTATTATTGGACACATTCACATAGACATTTTTATAAAATTACAAAAAATATGCTAGCTCACAACCAACACTAAATGAGCAGTGATATTAAAACATTTATGACGTGGACTACATCATACTCGTGGACACTTAAGACCACGTCCAACAACACTGAAACAATGTAGTACAGTGCCACATTGGGATGCTACCAAAAAGAAATTAAACAGTGAAAAGTGGAATACAGTATTAATCTACTCATTTTTTATATAATATTAGCAGGGAATATTAGGGACTAGTTAGCTAGGGAATGTATAGCATTCCCTACGTACGTTCGTACGTCCCTTTCTCTGAGATTGATTAAAAAATTTAAGAAACTCAAGTATGATATATACTAAACTAAATGCATTTCACTTTTAAATCAAGAAACTATCGAAAGAAAGTGATAAACAACTTCTACAGTTGAAGCTCATTAAGAGATAATTTAGGTATTAGGCAGCTTAAGTTCCTAAGGCAGTATCTGGGAACACTGCACTATATTCAGAACTGTCGGATTCATCCTCTAATAAAATCTGTATTAAAAATCTTTGCTGTAACAATTATAAAAAGCCGAAGACAAACATAACTATTGAATTAAACTCTAAAATCATCAATATATTGCAGTAAATATAAATGAAATTAAATCTACATGTTATTTTATACATTTGCTATGACAGTTTTAAATGCAACAAAATTGACTATAAATTTACTACTGTTACGAATATAAACTGGGCTATTAGATGACTAAAATCACGAGTAACACCTGGGTTTAGCTCATAGAAAACAAAGGTATAATTTACCCTATTATTATATGAAAAGCTTAAAAAAACAGAACATACGTGATTAGTATATAGTTTTGACTGCATATTCCCTATGTTTCTACTTAATAATGAGACTCATAAAGTCATGAAGACACTAAAATAAATGCACATATAAATGCTATGATACTAAAACAAATGCCACGTAAATAAGATTATTAATTATTCTACAATTTCTTAATTAGTTTTGTAACGCTGTTATTAACTATTTCAATCAGATTAGAATTTACAACTATGTATGAACTATTTCACAAATTTCATATGGATCATATAAAATTGCTAACATACCAATATTAATCTATGACAATACAACTGTTAGTAAAGAGTCATACATAAATTAAGAGGATAGGAGAGGAGACGTTGTGTGACAAGCGTGACGACGAATTGTAACATTAATGACAAGACGATAGGAATCAACATATTTTTACAAATAAGTATAATGCTTGTTATAATACATTGTAATTTTAAAGTTTTCAAACATAAAATATGTAACATCACTCTAGGAAGGGAGTGCCCTCCATATGTGAGTAGGTGTGACAACGATGAGAGGTGTGACCCAAAAACATGGAAATCGTGTGCTCGACATATGTATGGATGACAGCGTTATATACTATTTATGTTCTATGAGTACATTTCACTTACAATAATGCTCCTAAAAATTAAAGTAGAAATTCATATATTTTTTTGGTAATAATTTATTATAGTCAGTTCTAAAACCCTGATATATATCTGTGTACAATTGGAATATTATATAAATCTCGTGTTAGGAACTTACAAGTCTTTCAGAATTGTTTAAATGTCACGAAATAGTTAATCTTATATGTACCAAAACCATTATCATTTGGCAATCTTAATTCGAGTATAAAATCTAACATTACTGGCACTGAATTATCACAGAAATTACATTTCTCTCGCATATAGTCTTGTAATGAATGCAGCATTTCCAATTTATATTATTTTAAGAAACATTAAAAAAAGTGTATTAAAAACTACACACACACATTTGTATAATTTTATATATATTATTAAAAAAAATTGGGGACATATTATTATATATTATGATACATATTTGACAGTCCATAAAAAAATTATTACTTTCACAACATGGGTTGAAATTGCAAATACAGAAAAATATACAAAACAAGAAATGGTAAAGAAACAATAGAAAGTTAACTAAATTGAAAACAAAGACACATTTCATGTCAAATAAAAGCTATTTTCCATCATATTCATTATTAAATTTAAGTAATTTATTTACAACTATAAGAAAGGCAATATTTTTTACTTATTTAATTTTCAAATACTTAATAAAATGACATGCATTAGACAGAACTTGAATTAGGACTGATATTGAATTGCAATCCAAAATAAAATAATTATGGACTTCATTTTAAATTGTCTCTAAGATTAATATAGTTTAATAAACATTTTAATAGATAAATAATAATTAAAACTATTATACTAAAATACAAAATTAAAAATTAAAAAGTAGTAAATTATTTTAGCCTATTGGGAAACGCTATTTCTAATGAATACACTAATTGTTATATATAATTTTTTTAGGTATATTCTAACATTTGCTGTTTCTGGTCTTTACAGCTTTAGTGTACATAAAAGGCATTAACGGAAGACGATATAATTATTAAAAGTAAAATTACAATATCAAATATTAACTATATGGTTACTCTATATTATAGATCATATTGCAAAATGGCAGTCTGATGTATACACAATTTTATATATACTTACGTATACAGAAAATAAGAAGCGATAAAATTAGCAATGCCAATTGAACAAGATATAGTAATTATCAATCATGTTTGATGCGAGTTTGTATGTATCTTATATTTGAAATCTACTAAGATTTATTTGACACTCAGTCAAATATTTTCTAAACTAGCTAACTGTATTTATTGTTGAAATTTAATATAATAGTACTGAATAAACCGAACTTATTTATATGTATGTTAAATTTTGAAACTTGTGTATAAATGCTAAAATTATAATCTTAAAATTTGACTAATTTTATAGGGTATTAATATAGCTAAATGGGTTTTAACACGATTCATTTTATGGTAAATAAAGGTGTGCTAGGTTTTTATGTTAAAAACTTTATATATATGGTGTGATTATTAATTTTATGGTAAATATCTTTATTTGTCATAAATTTATTTGTGTTAAAACCTGTTTAACGCGAGAGTTTAAAAATTAAAACAGATGTTTTAAATCGATACCTTATTACTACATTTTTATCAACTATCATATTATTTGGTTATTATTAATATTATATGATATATTTGGCTCATTCATTTAAAATAATTACAATGTTACAAGATTCCTAAGAAAGTTATATGTATATTTCATTAACCCATGTTTTCTGGGAAAAAATTATATATAATATATATATTATTACCCTTTACATTTCACAGACTTTTTATTAGTCTTATTATTTTATTAATTACAACATCCAAAAAGAAAACATATAATTTATATATAAGTTATATGTATAATTTTGTATTTTGTGTCCAGTAACAAACTGTTTAAGAAGGTACGGCTGCGCAAGAGTTTAAAAATTATTACAATTACTACTGAACACAGTTGGATGTGGTTATGATATTGACAATATTCAATTGACCTTTCCACAAATTGGTTCAGTCCTTACCAATGATGGTATTGTACCACTTTATTATCGACAAATACACAAATTATACCAATAAATTTGTCTAAATAAACCATTGTAAATAAAGATTCAGTGATTAATTCTAAATGTAAAATCTTTATACGTTTAAATGTTGTGAATACTTAGAGATCAACTGCACATTTTAAAATGTGCTGATTTATAGAAAACGATAACTTTAAAATTGGCGACACTCACAATTGAGCAAATTCTGAAATTACAGGACTAAAGTTAGGTCATTTCTAAAATTAGAAATAGTTTTCGGAAATAACCTGATTGTCCTTGACAGATGTTATTCTCTATCTTTACAATTAAAGAATAAAGTATCTAATATAATGTCATGTATTACAATGTAGGTCACGACTCCCGGGTCGAGGGTAAAACAACAAGACAATAATTTGTTGGTCCTATACTGCAATAAACAAACTGGTATTTAAAAACCTTAATGTGAGTGTTTAGTTAGTGGATTTTCAATATCTTAAATATTATATATATATTCTAACTAAATGCAATATGCAAAAGACAAAAAAATGCACCATTTGAGTTGCTTGCCAGCTCTAGACTAGACTGTAAGGATGATGATTATATATTTTTACCGTGTTTTCATGTTTTAAAAAATTTACTATATGCATAAATTATTTTAATTTCGAAATTATCAACATCCAAACGAGTCGAATATTCAAAAAGTTTAAACTTCACAATGCCTCACAGGGATTTTCGAAGCAACATGCATCATAGGAAGGAAGCTAAGTCCTTACATAGGGACATCTGCGACATATTCAATGCGGAGTAGCAGATCCATTAGGTCCTGGGGTTGCAGCCAGCGCCAGGGCAGGGCTCCGCGGCCGTCGCTGGAGCCCCGCGAGACGCACGAGTCGCGGCGACGCACCACGCCGTACAGCATGCATACCGCGCATATAAAGCAGATCACGGCGAATACTTGGAAAAGACTCTTTAGCGGTTCCCTGCAATTATAAACTAATGAGTGGTGCTGATGGTGGGAGGTAGGATATATTTCTAGGTGGATTTACACGACTAAGATAGTTCTTTAGTTGCTCAATGGTCAATGAATATACAACTCATACTGGAAATATTGATGAAAAAATTTTATTTACTAATTTGTTAATGTACTTGTTAGGCATAGGTCTAATAATTTATTACCACTGTAAGTGTACTACTTATAGATAAAAACTTTACTAAAAGTAGATTAAAAAATACTAACAAATGGGTCATTGATGCTATAAACTTTTTTATAAAATATATATGGTTTAAAAGTAACTTTAAATTTTAGCGTTTAGAATGTAATTGTAATAATTGATATGTTCCTTCTATTTATTTATATTTATAATAATAAATAGAAGGAATAAATAAATTATTAGAATACCAGCTGAGTTTCTTGTCAGTTCTTCTCATCTCGAAATCATTCCGAACTGACGGTAGATTTGACATATCATAGAGTCTGTAATAGATCTACATAAATAAAGATCTTAAAGTCTGAAAAAAAATTTGAGCTTCAGTGCTTACTTGATATTGCAGCACTTCACATGTTCACATTTCGCAAGGTTTATACAATTCAACCTAGCAAGAGGGAACCTACCGCCGTCAAATTAATTTGATCTGTTATCGTTGTTTCCATTGCCCAGGACCATTGTGTCTTTTTATTTAGATACCCCAAATGATGGTTGACCTTTCTTATTTACCTTTACCACTTTACCCTGTCCTGGACGTAGTCCATTACCCAAAATTAATTTGGAATATTAATTTTGGGTAATGGACTACGTCCAGTCCATTTATATTTAAAATCTTTTTTGGGTGTCAACCCGACATGAACTGAATACCTTTGAAGTTGTAATCGTGTACTTTTACTTAGTGAAAAAAATTTAAGCTAATGCTCTTTTATTTCTAATACGAAAATCTAATACAATTTACTATTTATGTTTGTAATGAAATTACTAGCCTTCATTTTGGTAGGCATTATACTTTCTCTCTCTCTATGTTTAAGATTCGTCAGGAACAAGGCCGCTAAATCCAATATAATGTCATACACACCAGAAATACTTCCTCAGACTTTTGTGGTGTGCGATCGCTTTACGCTTCTCACAATCCTCACAAGACACCTGCGCTTGCGTTCCTACTGAAGCTGTATCTGTTAAAAAGGATACAAAATTAGTTTCCGAATATATGACATTATTTCAACCACTATCTACAACAATTACTAAACAAAAATATATCAAAAACAGATCTAATAAAGGGATCTTATTTTATAGTACAGTTTTTTCTATTTGCCGTGGAGCATGAACCCATGAATCCCAATATTATTTTAGAGTTGTTGCTAAGACTTTCCTCCTGTACAATAGTTTAATTTTACAATAGTTTATTATTACATTTAAAGTTATAATACTAATTGAACCGTTGATAATTTCGCGCATCATTTACGGAAAGCATCTTTATATTTAAATAAATTACCAAACAGTTCTATCAGGTTTTAGATTTCAGTTGATATGGTTACCAGTAATTAGGTATTTTAAATAATAGAACGAATGCATCTAATAGTCTAAAATATGAATCTATACATCAACTTAAATTTCGCAAACACAAATACAAGTGTAATAAAAATTACTATGTTTTAAACTGATTGATAAAAAAAATCATCATAATAAGCATGCCAAAAAATAAACAGTGTAATAAAAAGTGAATGATAATTAGATCAAGTAATTCAGCAGATCCTGACATTACGATACTTAGTGGAGACGAAGGAGTTATCCTTCTTCATCCCTACTAATAATTGTAATGTTGTAATTATTTTAATACTTACCAAATTACACTACTCCCACTTTCAAATTCTACTCGATCAGTTTACATATACACAATAGCCGTCTTTACACGTACGCTCTTTCACGCAGGAAAGAATGTGCATGTAAATGTAGACAAAGAAAACGAGATGGACTGCGGGACGTAGACAAAGAAAATGATAAAGACTGTGCGCACTGCCAACTCGCATATACCTGCATTCTTCAATCGTCAAAACGATGTAAAATGACATGAAAGATACGCGCGAAAGAGTGAATACAATTACTCATAATAGCGCGTGCGGGCTTTCTGGACTAAATCGCGAACGTTCCTGATCGCGCGTGAAAGAACATGTCGTGTAAAGTCAGCTATTAACTAAACATAATTGTACATATGAATTGATTGAGATTAATGAACAAATAAATGTTGACTCTGAGTGAATAGACGACAATTGTAATACCAACTAAACTACTATACTATACAAATAAACTACTCTACCACCTTAACAAACATGACGTCACAACTAACAACATTAAAACAAACCAGGAAAAATTACCAAGTTCAGTTTGGCTCTGAGTAGAACATGTATCACACAAGAAGCCGTAATCAGTTTGAGTCTGAGCATAGCATATATCATAATTTAAGCTATTATTACTTTGACTTGGTGATGAGCAGGTATCACACATTAAGCTGTTAAAGCTGTTAATTCTATCTCTTTGGTTAGCACACAGATTTTCAAAAATAACCAGCTTGGACTGCAGATCATCCACAGTGGATTGCAATAACACATTCTTATCACTTTCCTTTGCAACTAAGTTCTGTATAATGTTCAGATTATTCTCATATCCATCGAATTCATTCTGCATATTGGATATTGTACCCTGAGATTTTAATATGTCACTCTCTAATTTCCTAGTGTATGTTTTCATATTTTCACATTGGGTGCACTTAATAGGTACAGTTTCTGTGTTATTGATATTAATACTGTCAGTTTGACTAGCTGTACTAATGTAAGTTTCTATTTTTAATTCACTATTGGTTTGGACAGCAATATTTGCATGTATCTTTAATACATCACATACACAAGTCTGTGTTGCAATACTTTCATATAATTTCGTTACAAAACAATCACAACTTTCTGTTTGTACTCCAACATTACATAAATAACTTCTAACATTTACACAGTCACACGTTTTATTAGAAACATCTACGAAACCGTCATCTGTCTGAGTGCCTATAGTGGTCAGTGAATTGTCAAATGCTTCTTTACATTTGTCACATGTGAAATTTTCAATTGTACAATTATATCGCGATTTGTTGCAAAAACTTTGTCGTATTTCATCGAAGAGCGACATGTTGGTCGCGCGTCCTTGGTCTTCTTTTAAAGCGTTTACAAACGATTCTTCGTCTAATAAGCGGTTGTCTAGAATATGCGAATTAATATATCAATATATTAGATTGAAAAAAAAATTAAGAAGAGTTTGAAATGTTCCTATACATGACACATTTTATAAAAGATTCACGATGTTTTGTGTTGTCAAGACTTAAAGATTACAAAATTTGGAAAATAGACTTTAAAGTTATAACTAATAAAGTCAATTACCTAATTATTTCAAAATATAGTTAATGAAGATAAAAATTCGGTATCACATAGTTACACATCACAAGTCATATTAAATATAGTATCTTGTCTGCACAGAGCCTAAGCATAATACATTGCAAACATTCACGTCATGCAATATTGCTGAATTATTTAGTACCTTGTGAGAATCTACTGTCGGCGTTAAGACTGTCAAGTGCATTCAACATCTGGTCTTCTGTATAACTGATGTCTATGGACCGGTCTATTTTCAGCTGAGTCTGGTTGGATTTGTTCAGCACATCTGTTAACTCCATTTCCAGATGTACCTGAAAATAAAAAAAGGAATTCCAAAAAACCTTCAATCATAATTTGTTAAAAATTATTTAAGATCCTTTCTAATATGAATACAAAGAATACAGTTCAATTTTTATCTTCTCACTTTTTAAGTTAGAGTTGAAAAAGATAGATATTGCCTATGGCAATACAATGGGATCTAGGGTAGTATATGAAAAGATCCTTAGCACATATTTTTTTGTCTATGGTGTGATTAACACATTATATATATATGTGTCGTTGGTTAGATAGAGTGAGAAGAACTTCTTAGCATCCCATGGATTCACCGTTTATATTTAGTACTGTAATCAGTGCTCCAAATTAAGATTATATTACTATTCAAATAAAAAAATATTGCAATGGTGATGAATCAGTTCAACTTCATATGAAGTCCAAAGAAAAATGTACTTTTACTTTATCAATCATCACTTACTAAATATTCTATAACAAAACAGGTGTGAAGAATGAAGTGCAGATAGTATCGTGTGGAGCAAAGGGAACATACAGCTGCCTCCATACACAATATGTACCATCCCCCATCTTTCCATGTTGATACGTAAAATAGATACAAGATGAAAAGAGATAGCAACATTACTTTTTCCTTTATCAACTGCTGCATAAACTCCTCCTGGTCCTGTAGCCGCGCGGCGAGATCGGCATGTTCTGTTTTGAGAGTCTCATTCTCCTCCAGTAAGGACGATTGTCTGCTCGCGTACATTTCGTTGATGCGATGACATTCTTCTTTGGATTTTGTCAGTAGTTCTTGTAGTATTTGTTTCTATGAACATAAAGTAATATTAATCTTGGTACTGAACAATTTAGATTGTAGTAATTTTTACTTATATATAATGTGATAGATAAATATATATATGAATAAAGTTTTAGTATATGCATACATATATATTGAAGTGGGAAGAGGATTGTTAGTAATGTGGACTGATAACCCCATTGCTAGTAATGTACCATGTCATCTCCAGCCTGTTCTTCCTGGAAACCATCATGATAAATTCCTCATGAATTTGTCACGATGGGCTAACTGACCTGACCTCATGTCCATGTTATCATCCTCCTCTGTGGAGGCCCAGCCAGCGTAAACCGTTAGCACAGGGGGTTGCAGCATTACACTATCACCCATTAATATATATATATATATATAAACACCTCTTTGGGCACTTTGTTGATCACGCCACAACCTACACACTTGCTGATTCCACCTTTTGCACTGAATAACTTGACCTCTATCGCGTATATCTCAGGCGGTATGGCAACGTCGCATTCTATTTTGCGATGTGGCCATATATATTCGTCGATAGTACGATATACTCGACACTTTTTTTACTAATAATTCGTGACTGAATGGCTCCGAACGGCTAAATTTTTGGTATACACAAAGACTTTTTGGCTCTGAATATATTCCAAAAATCAATTAATTATGTTGATCACTTTATATACTCGTCCTTACTGCGATACTTATTTTCATCCGAATATATATAGATACCGTAACGGTCTATCAATTATGAATTTATTAATTTACTAATGTAGATATTTTATATTCGCAATGTTCCATACATGCAAGCTCCAGCAACGGTGGAGGCACGGTCCCCCCTGCACCGTACACCGCACCCCGCGCACACAAACAAATTAGATATTTTTTGAATACACAAAGACTTTTTGGCTCTGTATATATATTTCAAAATTCAATTAATTGTGTTGATCACTTTATATACTGGTCCTTATTGCGATACTTATTTTCATCCGAATATATATAGATACCGTAACGGTCTATCAATTATGAATTTACTAATCTAGATATTTTATATTCGCAATGCTCCATACATGCAAGCTCCAGCAACGGTGGAGGCAGGAGGGAGGCAGGGGGGACCGTACACCGCACCCCGCGCACACAAACAAATTAGAATAAATTAAATTCATAAGATTATTTATATATTTCGACTGCCTCGGTGGTCACACCGCTTTACATCCGATGGTCGCGGGTTTGATTTCTCGCACGGTGCAAACAATTGTACTCATCGGTCATCGATTGTTTTCATCGGTCTGGTTGTTTTATATGTATATTATATATGTATTTACAAAATAAAAATATCTATTTATATCAGTTCAGTATCAGTCTGTGTTAATTGTCCAGGGCTATTTATTATATTTTTATAAACGGTTACTTATCTTTTTCCATCGCACCGCTCGCTATCGACAGTGAATTCATAGAAATATCACTCTAAAAACAAAAATAGTTTTGTGTTTTGTATTTCAAATACTAAATGCAAAATAGGTATTTTCAAAATACTTTTTCAAAATAAAGTACCTTTTGAATTTTTGTCCAAACCTCAGATATTTTATTTATTTTAGGTATATCAATTATTACATAGTGTAGTATAAAACAAAGTCGCTGTCGCATCTAACAGTACATAAACAAAGAAAGAAGACTTTGGCTCTGATACCGTAACGGCCTATGAATTATGAATTTATTATACCTAATCTAGATATTTTATATTCGCAATGCTACGTACATTGTAATATCCGCCTCCATTCATTGTAACGGTGGAGGGACTAAATAGTTGAATAAAACTGAATAAGCAGTTGCTCCACTCTATAGGTACTGCGTCATCGTCGTATGCTGTTCATTTTTTCACTCGTTTTGGCGCCAAGAGAGGGTCACATAGTCGTGGTCAAGTTAAGAACTTATAATTTAATTTTGATAACAATAGATACAAGTAAAAAGTAGGTATTATATTAATGTACGTAAGTACTGTACTTAAAAATATTTATTCTTTATTGTACATTTGAAAAACTTAACACTTAAGGACTTGTGTGTGACATATACACGTACATACTGCCATTTTCTCTTAAAGACATCCAGAGAAGCACTATTTATCAAATACGCGGGGTGCACCGACCTTTGACCTTATACGCGCTGTACACCTGATTCGCGCGTAACGAATTACATTGCTACTTTTTGGTATTTTATAGTCGATATTTCACTATAAAATATTATTATTTCTTTAGATTATGACATAATAACATAGTTTACATGATTTTAAGGGAAACATACGATAAAAAAAATTCCCGTAAAATGTAAAAGATAAAAAATGGTTATTGTTGGTTATCCTTAAGACATCTCAAAGCACTAGACAATACGCATTTTCATTAAACAGTATTGTATTTTTTTTATTTCTTTAACTTTAATGCACAAAAAAATTTGTACATGTGGCGGACTTAATATTTTGCCGCGTTATTTACCAGGCAACCATGAGTGGTGCAGCGAAAGATTATTGGCGGTGCACTAATATAAATAAGAAATGTCAAAAAAAGATTTATAAAGATAATAAAGATAAGCAAAATGTAATTTCTATAAAAAAATAACAATATACATACATAAATATATATGTAAATATAACCCATAAATGTATAAATAAATACATAATGATCCGATAATCAAATTATAAGTACAGTCTCAAATTGAAAGTAAGAAAAACAGAAAATATAGAGAGAACTATAGGGATATAAAAGAAAGATGTGAAAAAAGGAGAAGGACAGTAAAAAAGTTACAAATTTAAATAATGTTCCCGCAATTTCTGTTTAAATGAATTTATTACATTATTATATATATTAGGCATACGACTAGCCTTATGGCTGTTCCTTTTTTTTCATCTATACATCTATACATGTAAATAAAATTTGAGTGTCTGTTTGTAATATTGAAATAACCGTTTTTTACTACTTGCATATGAATATAAATACGGTATACACCAAAATAACATATTTTACAAGTTTTGTCTGTCTGTCTGTCTGTTTGTTCCGGCTAATCTCTGAAATAGCTGGACCGATTTTGACGGGACTTTTTTTGGCAAGTAGCTGATGTAATAAGGAGTAACTTACGCTACTGTTATTTTAGAAAAATAAAATAAAATTTCACGCGGACGAAGTCGCTGGGGCCAGCTAGTCTATAGATATACCGAGATTTAATGTTTAAGTTACTATTATGTTGTTGACAAAATTTTACTGTAATGTTACTATTACGTTATCCTACACAATTTGTATTATTTTGGATGAATAAATAAATAAATAAATAATAATCTATACATATAAATTGGAGTGTCTGTTTGTAATATTGAAATAACCGTTTTTTACTACATGCATATGAATATATATAAGGTACATATACCAAATTAACAATTTTTATAATTTTTGTCTGTCTGTCTGTCGGTCTGTTTGTTCCGGCTAATAACTGAAGTGGCTGGACCGATTCTGAGGGTACTTTTTTTCGCAGGTAGCTGATTTATAAGGAGTAACTTAGGCTACTTTTATTTTAGAAAAATAAAGTTAAATTCCACGCGGACGAAGTCGCGGGAACAGCTTGTTTTTAATAAAAACGGTTTATTCGATAGAAAAAACATATTTTTTGTGGTACTTGAGAATGTTGAAGCCTGTTGTTTATAATATTGAAATAATAGTTTTTGACTACGAGCATATGAATATAAATACGGTACATATACTAAAATTTATTTTTATACAATTTTTGTCTGTCTGTCTGTCTGTTTGTTCCGGCTAATCTCTGAAATAGCTGGACCGATTTTGATGGGACCTTTTTTGACAGGTAGCTGATGTAATAAAGAGTAACTTAGGCTACTTTTATTTTAGAAAAATAAAGTTAAAAACCACTATAATAGCTAGTGTATAATATATTAGAGATACCTACGTGTTTTTTTTTATTGATGACTAGCTGTACACGGGATTTCGTCCGTGTGGAATTTAACTTTATTGTTCTAAAATATAAGAAGTTACATTCCACGCGAACGAAGTCGCGTGTACAGCTAGTTGTTGGTAGTCTAGCGATTTAGCTAGTATACCGCTTTGATTCCTGCTTGGTGGTCGAGGGTTCGATTCCTCGCACGCTGCAAACATTTGTATTCATGAGTATGATTGTTTGTAACGGTCTGGGTGTTTTTCTATGTATAGATAATACATATTAATTTACGAAAAAAATCTTTGTATTTGTATCAGTTGTCTGGTACCCATAACACAATGTTCAGCTAGCTTAACTTGGGTCTAGATGAAGCTGTGTAAATTGTCCTGAGATTACTATTATTACTATAATAAATCTTTTCAAATCAGCCGATGTTTATTTTTGCCATAATACGTGCTGTTACCATGTGATAATATTACGTAGTTACTGTTTGATAATGTGATAATATTACCACAGATAATATAATATTACATACAGATACCCCATCCCATACAAGAAAATGGTTCCTTCCTAACTCGGGCTATTCTTCGGGCTATTTTATTTCGCCGCCGTAGGCGCTAGATGTCGCTATATATGAAGCAGTTCGGATTACTAGTGGGTGATTAGTAATAAAGCATGAAAATAGATGGCAGAGAATTCGGTCTACATGACATCTGTTTTGCAAAGATACGTACATAATAGATATATAACTGTATCGAACTCCTGATTGGGTACAATCGAAAATTCAATGTAGGTATAATATTGTTCGCTGACAGTCTACAGACACGGCTAATGTACCTATGTATCTATGTACTATGTTACAGTTACTTTTTTACATGCCTACTTTTTTTCTCCCGACGAAGATATGTCGTAACGCGTCTGCACTAAAATCGGGCTATCGGTTAAGGAGCAATAGCTCCTTAACGAATAGCCCGATTTTAATACGGTTTTTTTATTTAAATTGTTATGTGATAGTGATAGATTTTAGCTATAATCAATTGATGTGCATATGGGTACCTCATATAATTTTCAGTGTA